AGACTGGTTTGAAATAGAATCCCATGCCCCTCATCAGACCTGTGGGGTTGGGGGTGGTTCTGCATTTTCAACAGAATGCCTGCCCAGATGGTCTGCACATCTGAGGGGCGGTGCAACCTGGACATTGCCCCCTGATCCCAGTCTGGCCCCTCTGCCGAGATAAGCCAAGGTAAGCACCTTACCTGTTCACATCAGCAGTTCTCACCTCGACCCTGGGCCACATCTAGGGACAACTGTCACAAGTAGGGGATGCTCTTCGCACCAAGAGGGTGGGGCGGGGAAGCCGCTCAACACCCATCCACCCCCCCTCAGAGAATGACCTGATCCCAACTGTAGAGAGTTTTCCTTTAAATTAAGTCTGTGTAATTATTTTGAGAAACTCTACTCTGGGGGACTGTGCAAAGGTCCTGGGGCAGATTTTTGACAACAGATCCTGAGAGCCAGTCAACTGGCTGGGAAGTATCTCAGCCCCAGATTCCCCATCAGGCTCTGTTCCCACCCTCACTGTCTTTTAAGTAACAGCCCAGACCAAGGACCTCCTACCACAGAGCCAATGTAACCAGCTTTCCTCTGCTGATAATAAAATCAAAGTCAGCCTCAAGCATTCCAGGTGCCCTCAGGCACACAGTCTTGGTTTTCTCTGCCATGACCTGTTCCCTGATATGGCTGATGTGTGTCAGGGAATAAACACCAGGGGTGGATTGCTCAGGAGGTGGGATGCTAGTGGTAAAGAATTCGCCTGCCAGTGCAGAGATGCAATAGATGAGGGTTTGACCCCTGGATCAGGAAGATTCCCTTGAAGAAGGAAATGGCGACCCACTCTACTAGTATTGTCTGGAGAATTCCATGGACAGAGGAACCTGGTGGGCTACAGTCCATGGAGATCATTAAGAGTTGGACACAACTGATCACACACACAGTTGCTGAATTTTAGGTCATGGAGGTCAGACTCAAGTTAGACTGGGCTCTTCCCTACCCCTTGTCCCCCGTGGGAGAAAGAGGCTGAGGAAAGTGCCTCTTTGACTCGCAAGAGAGCTGGTGGGGTTTTATTTTTATTCTTTCAAATGACTCTCCCAACACATCAGAGGGCCACAGGGCTTCAGCATTCTGTCTCCATGGAGACAGAGCCTGTCTCCAGCCCAGCTCCAGCAGCTCAGCCTGGGGCTGAGCCGAGAACCAGGGGCTGTGCAGGGCCAAGGGGTGGGGTGTTCTAGGAGGACGCTGGACCCCTCACCCAGGTTCTGCTCCTGCCTCAATCCTGTCTTGGGCTGGCTGCTGGTATCAGGCAGGGTAACAGCCATTTATTGAATGCTAAAGGTGCTCCCGGTTTTATGCTGAGCCTCATCTATTAGCATCGCTGAATCCATGCCAGGGGCTTCACCCTCTTTAGTTCTAACTTGGCAAATAAGGAAACGAGCTTGGCTGTCTAAAGCGTGGGGAAGACGCTGTGGGATTGTGGAAAGCATGTGGGTTCATATCCCAGCAATCTCAGTGTGTGACCTTGCCCAAGGGACTCGACCTCTCTGGGCCTCAGTTTCCCCCTCTGTAAAGTGGGCATAGCAACAGTACCCACCCTTATCCTTGCTATGAGGGTGACCTCTCCTGAGGAGCAAACTTTAAGGATAGAAAAAATAAAGAATATTTTAATACAGTAGTTTTCAAAAACTAAATGCTGAAAAAAATCCATGATGAACAAAAAGGTCAACATTTTAAATAGAGTCAGAATTACTGATTTTTCCTTTGGCTCATCACAGCANTGAGTATTTTTTTCAAAAAAAAAAAAAAAAAAGAAATAGGGACTTTGCTGGTGGTCCAATGGTTAAGACTCCATGCTTCCAGTGCAGGGTCATGAGTTTTATCCCCGATCAGGGGACTAAGATCCCACATGCCATGTGACCAAAAAATAAATTGTAAAAACAAAACAAAACAAGCCTTCTATATTAAGAAAAAACACAAAAAACAAAGGAAATAAATTTAAAATAAAGTCAAGGTCAGTAGACTGACCCCCAGTGACTGTGTGGTGCTTTTTATCTTACAACCTCTGACCCCAGTTCCTCCAACCCTGCCTCAGGGCCTTTGCATCTGCCTTTTCGTTCTTAGTTTAAAGTCCATCCTCTCTAAGCCTTCCCTGAATTTGCCTCCTAAAGCCATCTCTCCACTTCTGTTTCCTCCATTGCATTGAACACAGTCTAAAGTATCTGGTTTAGGGGCTTCCCTGGTGGTCCAGTAGTTAAGACTCTGCAGAAGGCTATCCCTGGTTGGGAAATGGAGCCCACATGCCTTGCAGCATGACTAGTGATAGTAAAGTATCTGGTTTATTTGTCTGTACTCATCCCAGGCATTGTGCTGTGGATTGAGTTAACCACTTAGCACAGAGCCTGGTGTTGGAAAGAGAGCAAAATGACTTATCAGTAAACAAATAAATATATAATGATGTGAAGAACTGACTTATTTGAAAAGACCCTAATGCTGGGAAAGATTGAAGGCAGGAGGAGAAGGGGATGACAGGGGATGAGATGGTTGGATGGCATCACTGACTTGATGGGCATGAGTTTAAGTAAGCTCCAGGAGTTGGTGATGGACAGGGAAGCCTGGCGTGCTCCCGTCCATGGGGTCACAAAGAGTCATACACAAGTGAGTGACTGAACTGAACTGAACATATTAGAATTAAATTAATTAAATTATCATGAGTATAAATGCTATGGAAGAAAAAGGAAGTCTAAGAAGTAATGGTGGCTAAACGATTTTAGATCAGGCAGACGCAGAAAGTGATGGGAGATTGAAGGAGCGGACCGTGTACCATTTGGGGGAAGGGCTTTCCAGGCAGAGTTGTGCAAAGGCCCTGAGGCAGCACCACACCTCAGGTGTTGGAGGAACAGTGAAGTGGTGCGTGTGTCTGGAGCAGACTGAGCAAGGAAGAGAGAAGGTGGAGGGGAGGGCAGGGAGGTGCTGCAGGAAAGACTCAGGCTTTAATTTGGAGACATCTTTGGATTTTTTTTTAATTGAATTGTTGATTTACAAGCTGTGTGAGTTTCAGGTGTGCATGTGTGTATGTATGCATTCTTTTTCACATTCTTTTCCATTATAAATTGTTACAAAATATTGAATATACATAGTTCCCTGTACTATAGAGTAGGTTCTTGTTATCTATTTTATATATCTACCAATTATATATGAATATATCTACATAGATATAATATAGATATATATCTACTAATATAAATAATATGATACTATATAATATATCTACTAATGTAGATAATATAATTTATTGTATCTATTAATCCCAAACTCCTAACTTAGACCCCCCCTCCCCTTTTGGTAACCGTAAATTTGTTTCCTACATCTGTGAGTCTATTTGTTTTGTAAATAAGTTCATTTGCCTCATTTTGTTTCAATTCCACATATAAGTGATATCATGTAATATTTGTTTTCCTCTGCCTGACTTTCTTCACTTAGTATGATAATCTCTAGGTCCATCCATGTTGCTGCAAATGGCATTATTTCGTTCTTGTTTATGGCTGAGTAGTATTCTGGTGTGTGTGTGTGTGTGTGTGTGTGTGTGTGTGTGTGTATACACACAGACAAACATACCACATCTTCTTTATCCATTCATCTGTTGATGGACATTTAGGTTGCTTCCATTTCTTGGCTATTGTAAATAGTGCTGCTATGTATCTTTGGAATGCATGTATCTTTTCAAATTCAAGTTTTCTCCAAATATATGCCCAAGAATGGGATTGCTGGATCATATGATAGATCTATTTTCAGCTTCTTGAGGAACCTCCATACTGTTCTCCATAGTGACTGCTCCAATTTACATTCCCACCAACAGTGTAGGAGGGGTCCCTTCTTTCCACACCCTCTCTAGCATTTATTATTTGTAGGCTTTATGATGATGGCCAGTGATGATAACCTCCTTGTGGTTTTGATGGAGAGTTTTAGCAGGAGTGGCGTGATGCCCATAGAGCACTTGGCCCAAATGCATCCATTTCTTTCTAAATATTTTGAACGGTATGTGCACGTGGCAAGTGTGACCAAAAGTGTTGCTGAGGATATAACACAATGATCGCTGTTTCTACTCTATCTATAAGTTACAAACTTAAAAGTGCTGAGCATAGTGTTATCAAAATTCTCTTTCTTGTTGCTGTTATTTTTATTATTATTAGTGTTATTATTCTGTCTGCTTAAACATCCCATGGACAGTCCTGTAAAAGTCAAGTGAGCTCCCTATAGAACGGTGCGCTACTTTTTGTGCTTTTCCTGGTGTTATCAGTGGGAAGACCTTGAGCCACCTCGAAGCCCGGTCGGTCCTGCCTAAAGATTTGCCGTCACCCACCCAGAAGGCAGGGGTTACGAACCCGCTGGCCTCAGTTTACAGGCCGGGACTGGGCGGCCAGGCGGGATGCCGGATGTGTGGGATGCAGGATGATCCAAGTGTGATTCGGGATAGACGATGCGAGTTCCCCCCGGGGGGCAGCCCGACGGCACGAAGGACCTGGACGCCATCAAGCTCTTCGTGGGCCAGATCCCGCGCAACCTGGACGAGAAGGACCTCAAGCCACTCTTCGAGCAGTTCGGCCGCATCTATGAGCTCACGGTGCTCAAAGACCCCTACACGGGCATGCACAAAGGTGGGCGCCCGGCTCGCTCCCCTCCCCTCTCCTCTCCTCCCTCGGCCTCCCCACCCCACCTTCCGGCATCTTCTCCCCGCCACCAACCTTCCTCTCCTCACCTCCTCCCTCCGCTTGCCTCTGCCACGGCATCATTTCTTACCCCCCCAACCCCGTTCTACCCACCCCCTCCTCCCCCCTCTGGGGGTGCAGCTGACAGATCCGAGCTGGCCCCCTCCCCTCTCCGCCCCCACTCCCTCCCTCCCCACCTTCCGGCATTCTCTCTCTTTCTGTCTCTCTCTCCCTCTCCCTCTCTCTCTCTTCTCTTCCCTTTTCCCTCCTCTCTCATCTCCCCCTACCTCCCATCCTGCCCCCCCCCAGCATCCTTCCCTCTCTCCCTCTCCCTCTCATTCCCTCTAGACCCCCACCCCTCCCTCCCTCCCTCACCCACTCTTTCTTGCCCCTTTGCTGGGAAGCTGCCTAAACACAGCCACCCTCCCTGTGCCTCCCCCCCATTCATTCGGCCTCCCCAGGCCCCGTCGGGGAAGTTTGCACCACTGGATTTCATTGCCTTGGTCATTTTCACAAAGCCAGGCCGGCGGGGCAGGTCCAGCCGGCCGCGGGGGACACGGATGCTCAGGATCTCGGGCTAATCGGTAACTACAAAGAAAGCGGGTGGGGGGTTGGGGGTGCAGGCAGCTAAGCCAGTCAGGGGGAGCACCAGCCTCTTGGGTGGTTCAAGGCTACCGTGTGCCCTCCCCCCCCACCATGCCCAAACCCTCTCTGTTTGGATTCCCCCCCCAGACTGCCGCCTCCACCTTTGGCTCAAGTTAAAACTGGCCAAGCCTGTTAGCAGTGTGTTGAGGGCTGAGGCCAAAGACGATGAGCCCGGACTGTCCATCTGGCAGATCCGAGATCCTGGGGTGGACGGAGAGGTGTGGGCGACCTGTGAGCCCAGCAGAGGAGGCAGGTCGGGTGGGAAGGCCTGCCCGCCTCCCTGCCACCTGATTCTCTATTGGCATGCTGAAAGGGGGTGCTGGGGACTGTGGCCCCAGCCCTGGGCTCTGATCATGGCATAGTGTCTGGATTGGGGTGGCCCTGGCAGTTCTCCTGGCAGGGGATGGGGATTGGGGGGTGGGGATGGTGAAGACTTTGTGCTGACACCCCTGGTGAGACCCTGGAGGGGCCTCGGGGTTGGATCAGGGCCCGTGACCTATTTCAGACCGCATTCATCCCTGTCTTCCTCTCTGTGTGGCAGGCATGGTAAGCATGAATATGTGTTTGTTGAATGAATGAATGAATGAATAATGAACAAGTGAATGAATCAATGAATGATGGTTTGGGCCAGGCCATAGGGAGGATCTGGTGGTTTGGAGTCCAGGCCTGCCACTTCAGCTAGCCCCTCCAGCTGGTACCAAGGGGGAGGAAAGCAGCTCCTCCCATCCCCCATCTCTTTCAAATCCAACCATCACCAAAAAAAAAAAAAAAACCTGGGCCTGGAAAATCTAACCGCTCCCTGTGGCCTAGGAGGGCAGAGGGCTTGTGCTCACCCACGAGTCAGGCTGAGGGGTCCACGGCTGTGTGAGGGGTCTTTCCACAACCCAAACCCCTGGTGTGTCCGAAGGGCTCATTTCTAGAAAGATTCTGATGGGGGTGGTGTCCACATGCCCCCCCCCCCCCAAACGTTGAATGAAAAGCTGCTGGTGAGCTCTGGGTCTCAGAGACATATGGGGCGTGGGGAGATGGAGCCGCCCAGTGGTCCTCCCCTCTTTTCTCATTTTTAAATCTCTCCTGGAGAACCCTACCGCCCCCACAGCACGCAAGGATAAGGGAGAGACTGTGGCTGGATTTTCACTGACCTGAGAGCCTCAGTTTACCTGTTGTCGACAGAACAGGGTCTCATGAATGTGGGTTTTTTTTTTTTTTTTCTGGCTGGAGAATGTTAGGACTGGGGGTGCCTCAGGGTGTTTCCCATTTGCAGTCTTTCCTTGGAGGGTGAAAATTAAGAAGCTAAGTGTCCATGACATCCACTTTGCTGGAGCCCTAGGCAGGTTAGAGCCCTGGATATAGGGCCTGGGGGTAACGGGGTGGAGGGCTTTCTCCCCATATCCACCTGCCCACCCCAGTACCCTCAGGACACCAACGGAGGCCCCTCCTTACCCCACCTGTGCTGGGCCTGGTAGGACCTTATCTGTGTGAGGGAGTCTAGGGGGTGTTGAAAGTGGGAGTTGATTCAAGGGCCAGCAGCTGGGCTGGCAGCCTGTTGTGGGGGTGCTTAGCTGTATGACTGGCCAGTGGCTGTCCCTCTCTGGGCCTCAGCCAACGGGAAGTGGAATGATGCGCGGGGAATTGTGGCGTGGTGGGGAGGTCCGGGCACCTCCTGCCAACACTCATCTGGTTTTGTTTCTGGGGAACCTGTAGGGTGCCTACTGAGGGTGCTGGCTGAGAGCCCAGGGGTGGGAGTGTGGACCTCAGGTTGTGGAGAGAAATCTCCAGAGAGCCTTGGGGGCCCCTGGAGGCGAGAACACCGATTGTGGTCCCTGTGGCCCCTGCACCCAGCAGGAGAATGGACATCCAGTATTGCATTATTCCCATGATCACCATCTCACCCTTAATTTTCACACTGGGGGGCCTGGTTGATCTCTGCTGATGGGATCGTGACTCCCACGGGCTTGTGAGCATCTGTGCATTTCATGTGGAAGGGAAACTGAGGCTGGAGGGGCAAATACTGCGTCCCAAGGACTGACCAGAGCTGCCCTTCACCCAGCTGTCACACACCTGTCTCCCACCCAGGCCAAAGAAGCAGAAGTGTATCTGCGGGATGAGGGAGTGACAAGCCGAGGCGGGACCCCCCCTTCCCCAGGGGTGGTGTTGGGGAAGGGAAGGGAGGGGGCGGGGATATGACATCTGACGGCCAGGGCCAGGGGTGAGGTGGGGGCATCCCCATTCCTAAGGGTCTGTGCAGGGGGCCTCCCTGCTGGGACCAAGAGAAAGGCAGGGGAGAAGTGGAGGTTTCTCTGGAAGAGGGCAGATCCGTGGGTGCTGGCTGTTTTTGTTTTTAAGATAGAGAGATGGAGACAGAGACAGGTGGAGAGACATGGCACAAGCAGAGGAGAGAGATACACAGAGACGCGGGTGGGGGGGGGGCTGACGCAGCCTCCCCCCACCCCCACCCACAGGGGAAGGCAGAGAGAGGGCGGGAGTTGGGGGGCAGGGAGGCCACGAGACGCTTCCCCCAACTCAGATCTGCACCTCATCCAGAGAAAGGCCTTGCCTGGTGCCCCCAGCCCAGCCAGCGGCTCAGGCCAGGAATTAGGGGGGCTCCCACTGATCAGGGTCCAGTCATCGCCCCCTCCAGCCACCTGCTGGGGGGACGGGCCCCCTCTGGGACCCTCCCTCGGAGAGGGCTGTGTGCACGTGCCCTCCCTTCCTCCCAGGTGCCTGGTGTGGCTTGGGCCCTCTCTTGAGCGATCGGCTTGAATATTAATACGCGCCCTGCCCCGGGCAGGCGCCCGCGATCGCTTCGTCCGCCGCCGCCGCGCGGCCCCCTTTATGGTAATCTGGGGTGGGGGGAGAGGCTGGAGCACGCCGAGCTCCAGGCATGAAATTCCGTGTGTGACGTGCCAGCCCCAGGGAGACGGCGGGCTGGGAGGCCGGCAGGCGCTGCCCGGTGGGGAGGAACGGAGGGAGGGGACAGCAGCGGGTGGGCAGGGAGGGGGTCGGGGGCAAGCCACCAGGACTGGCTGTGTGGCTTCGAGCAGGGCACGCCTCCTTCCAGGCCTCAGTTTCCCCAACCACTCCATCCTCAGGGGGGTTAACAGGCTTTTATGAGGCCCCGGGGGCCTTATGGGTGACCATGACATCGTTTCTGCTTTCCGTTAGGCAGAGTGCATTGGTTGAGCGCCTGTTGTGTGTGGGTCTGAGATTCCAGGCAAACAGGAATTCCTGGGGGGCATGATGGAGTCAACAGGCTGTGAAGCCACCTACTAATAGAACCACTATTTCTTCCAGACCCAGGATACAGTGTCGGGCAAAATAGAGAAAAATCCTCTCCCAGACTCCTCCCACCCCCAGATCCCATTTGGTGGTGGTGTGTGTTGGGGGCGGGGCAGGGGGGGGGGAGGGCACACAGTGAGGAACCGGAAGTTCCAAGGCATTGATGTCAGGGCTGAGATGGTGGATGCTTATCCGCAGGGACAACCCAGAGGAGGCCCCAGCCGCTGCAGATGTGGAGACCAGGAGGGCTTCCTGGAGGAGGCAGCTGATAAGGGAGAGCAGTTAGGATGTCTGGTTTCTCTGCGTTTTCTCGGCTATGGAAACTCGGGCAGCTGCCTTCAACTCTTCAAGGCTCAGTGTTGTCATCTGTAAAAGAGTCATGAGACCAGCGGGGCCTCCCATCTTGAGGAGAGTTAAGGGAGATGAGGGTCAGAATAGTGGTTAAAGATCTTGACACAGGGCTGGGCGCGGAGTCTATGTTTGTTACGCTACTAAGCTGAGACCTGAAGGATCTGTTGATGGGGAAAGGTGATCCTGGCAGAGCTTGTGCAAAGACCCTCCAGGTTGGGAGTGGATGGAGTTTTGTCTTGGTGGGGTAACAGCAGAGGGTCCTGGGAGCCCTATGGTTCCCTTTTTATGACATTTGCTCTCTCTTTAAACCCTGATATTGGCTGATGAGACCCTGGCCATTAAGAGCACTGAGTAGGACCATACTCATTCATTTAGCCAACACTTCCTGGAAGCCTTCTGGGGCCTTGTGCTCGGCAAGAGAGATCTGAGACCCCCCTAATGAGCAGAGCTACACACTGTCACCTATAGCTGGAATGGTCAGGGTGTTTCAATGGGAAGGGATGCAGTGTTGAGAGAACTGGATAGGGAGCTAAAGGCTCTGCCTAGGGAATCCAGCTGGGTGGAGGAGGGGGACTAGAACTGGGGCTTTGAAGGGTGAGTAGGAACTTGCCAGGTGGAGAAGGTGTTTCATGTATTTATTCACAGAAGCACTGTCTATGTTCTGAGCCCTATGGTGGATGTGAAACACAACAGTGAGTCAGCCAGGTGAATGTATCTGTCCTCGTGGATGTGGGCAGAGGGAACTGGGTTTGCAAAGGCCTGGAGGTTTGAAGGAGCACAGCTGGAGTCAAGGAGGAATTAGGTGAGGCATGGTAGTTGAGGCCAGGGAGTCAACCTTGAGGTCATGGACTCAACCCTGTGGGGCCTCTTATGTTGGACTGAGCTTGGATCTTTACTGAGGACACTGGGGAGCCATGGAAGAATTTAGAGCAGAGGAGGATCTCAGACCTGTGTGGAAAGAGACCCTCATGTCCTGTTAACTGTCATTGCTCCCATCAGCCTCTTTTCAGCCTCCCAGCCTTATCTGTGATATGCACACTTCTCACACACACCTGGGTGGATACAACAGAAGCTTCCCCTTGGGGTGAGGCTCACAGTGTGGAATGAAAGGGACACAAATAAACAGACACATGCTTAGGTCACAATGGTTCTCAGAGAACCAGATTCCCCCCCTGACATGGATAGACAGGGAATTGGGGCTCAGAGACAGGCGACACCCACACCCAAGTCACACAGCAATATAGCTAGGTGTCACACCCCCCAGCCTGAGACTTGACCCACCTTGGAAGAGAAATAAGGAAAGTAGAGA